AGGACAGAGGCTGATGGGCAAGGCTGGGCTGAGGGCAGAAGGTGCATCTAGGCCACCCCTCGGCCCTCATCACCTGCAGGACAGAGGCTGATGGGCAAGGCTGGGCTGAGGGCAGAAGGTGCATCTAGGCCACCCCTCGGCCCTCATCACCTGCAGGACAGAGGCTGATGGGCAAGGCTGGGCTGAGGGCAGAAGGTGCATCTAGGCCACCCCTCGGCCCTCATCACCTGCAGGACAGAGGCTGATGGGCAAGGCTGGGCTGAGGGCAGAAGGTGCATCTAGGCCACCCCTCATCCCTCATCACCTGCAGGACAGAGGCTGATGGGCAAGGCTGGGCTGAGGGCAGAAGGTGCATCTAGGCCACCCCTCGGCCCTCATCACCTGCAGGACAGAGGGTGAGGGGCAAGGCTGGGCTGAGGGCAGAAGGTGCATCTAAATCATGGTTCACCTGTTATCACTTATAGGACATTGTGAACTCCCTGAGCCTCCTCTCTAAAAGAAGAGGCTAAGATTTCTGCACATACTGTGAAACATGAAAAGATAGAATCCTTTGGTGGATATTTTTGTGGAAATGCACATTTCAGTGAGAAGACTTTTCTGCTACCTGTGAGGCGGCAGAGTTCACAGGTCAGTTTTCACATGCTCTTCCCTCTGATCTTCGGGGTGTTGCTGAGTGAACATTTTGCTCCTTGGCCTTCTTTTCCCACATGCTTCTCTAGAACACTCAGAATTCCACTGTCTCTACCTCAGTCCCTAGAGGTTCTTGTTGTTGCTGTTATTAATAATTTCATGTCATCTCTTTATTCATGAGAACAAGTCCAATTGCAGGAGTTTCTTGTCACCTCTGAAGGGGCCTTTCTACATATGAGCACTGTTTATTCTTGCCGTACAGCAAGCCTGCTTGGAGTTGCATCTTGTGAGACCCCAGAGCACTGCCCTTCCATTGTTTTCCCCAATAGACTAAAGGCTGAGGGGCAGTGCCAGGAGTGAGGACCTCTGGTCACTTCAGTGCCAGAGGTTCTTTGCACCAGAGACTCTGAGAGTTTCCTGTCATGTTTGCAGCTCCCCACACCTAAACCACTATTCCACCACAGAATGTCTCAGTCTTGACATTATTGTTGACATTTATATTTCAAGTATGCCTGCAGGTGACCCTCTTAATATTAATTTAGTGAAACTGTTAAATCTCATATTCGTTCAATTCTTCAGTACAAAGTCTAGTACATGTTAACTGTCCTTACAGACACACAACCTACTCATAATCTGTCAGTATACACAGAAAACCTACACGTTGCCTTACCTGTCTGTACACTAGGACAACTACCATTTTTGGCAATCTAACCCATGTCAAATATTGGGATAAGTGCTTTACCTCTGTTGTCTGGTGTACACTAGGCAGCACTGTACTGAGGATGTAGTCAACCCTCCTACTGTGGAGGTAGAGCCTTCCCCGAGGGCCTGCAGCCCTGCCAGGAAAAGGCCTTGGCCTGCAGGTTCGAGCATGTCAGCTCCTGTGCATGTCCCCTCCCTCTGCTGCCCTCCAGGGCTTTGGGACCTGTCAGAGTCAGGGGCACCAACATGAGTGACAAGGTGTTTTCTGTTGTGGAGCTGTGAAAGAGCTTGGGAGAGGGCAGATGATTGATGTGGTGTGCTAAATAAGCAGCAGGTGGTGCACTGTGACCAAGCATCAGTGAGATCCATTCTGAGGAGGGCAGGGTCCCCAGGCCTCACAGTTTTGTAAAGACCCCACAGAATGAAGCTAGGCCTGGCCCCTGGCAGGAAGTGCACAGGAAAGAAGACAGTGGATGGGGCAGCGTCTCCAGAAGTGAGGTGAGAGGTACGGAAGTCGTTTGCCTCTGTGCATAAAGCACACACTGAGAAGTGGAAAAGTCAGAGAGTGTGGTTCAAATTCTCACCTGAGCAGGCTGAAGGCTCTTAGGACCATGGATGGGCTGCCACATAGACCCCTTCAGATAGACAGTTCCAGCAGCCAGAGGTCCTATCAATGCTTTTCTCTTGTATACCTGGACACTTGACATCATACCCTACCTATCTGCACATCTGGACAACTTACACATTGCCTAAATCTGTACACTTGGACAACCAATACTCTGCCTACCTGGACATCTGGACAACCTATGCATTAACTGTCCATACATATAGACATCCTACACAAAAATCTCAGTACACCTGGACATGTTACCTATCTACACACAAGGACAGACTACACAGTATCTTATCTGCGTTAGTCTTAAGAACATTTAATTTGTAACACTTAACATAGACACACCAGTGTAAGTTGCCCTTGATACAACTGGTAACAGTGTGCCAAAACCATGAGGCCCACTGGGCTTTTGAGTTAAGTGGTTGAATGATTTTATAGGTGACATGGTGTCCACTGGGCTTTTAATGATGGATGCTTCTGTAGATAAGAAGATTAAATTTCACACGCCTGTAATCCAGCTGCTTGGGAGGCTAAGGCAGGAGGATCCTGAGTTCAAAGCCAGCCTCAGCAACTTAGTGAGACTCTGACTCTAAGAAAAATATTAAATAGGGTCTGGGATATGGTTCAGTGGTTAAGTGCCCCTGGACTCAATCCTTAGTACAAAAAAAAGAGGTGGAGGAGGAGGAGGAGGAGGAGGAGGAGGAGGAGGAGGAGGAGGAGGAGGAGGAGGATGCCCCGGATGGTGACAGCTAAGGAAGGCTTGGCACCAGGACAGACTCAGGTTGGGATTGATACCATAGGCCAGGCCAACTCAGAGGAGCCTGGAAGGAGCCAGGCAGCCCTGGTGATGCAGGACCCCAGGGCAATAATGAGGATGACTTAAATAATCTTGATGTGGCTCTGACAGAAGCAAAGGACAGAGTGGGAGGTGAGGAAGAAAGGACAAGCTCAGGGTATTGTGTCAGTTTCTTTTTGTAAGGTTTACTAATATATTCATGTAATTTTGAAGATCTTCATTGAAGGAAATAGAACATACATATGGATAGTTTTATCTTCTCGGAGAATATGAGCCCACAGTTAAAAGTTTAGATTACAGAGCTATTTCTGGTAGATAGAGAAATCATTTCAAAAATCACAAGACCTCTTATCTTCAAAATAAAATCAGAAATCACTATCACAGGTTAGGAGATGGGGGGAGTTTTGCCTGGTCTGCATAGATTTCATCGCTCAGTAAAGTAAGTTGGTGGAATGAGTCAGTCTGAATCTGGCATCGCTCTCCACAAGGACTATATGGAGCCATCTTGACATTTAGCAAATACCACTTGCTCTTCAGCACAGCATGACCCAAGCAGAGCCCTGTTGAGGACTGCGCAGAGATCTGTCCAAACACTGTAAACTCTGATCCAAAGCCTCAGCTGCTCGGTGTTGGATTTCTTCTAAATCAGTAGTTTACCTTGGGAGACTTTTAAAAATACCAGTGCTTAGCTCCCAAAAATAAAGTGAAGTGGATGAGTGGGGAAGTCCTACTGCTGCTTACCAGTTGTAGCTGCTTGGGGCTGGGCTGCAGTCTGTTTTACTCTGAGTCTGCAAGCAAGGGCCTGTGCTGGCTGAGGTCAGATTTCCTGTCTATACCTAAAGGTTTTTCTTTCCATACAAAGTCTTCCAATATTTCTGGCAATGGGTCCTACTGTATCTTGTAGGCATTTGTAGAACCTAAAGTGTGTTCCACATTGTGAGGATCCATGCTGTCTCAACATGTGGGTCACAGTACACATATTGGCTAAACAAACCTGAATAGAACAATGAAGCCCTGGCTTCATTGAAATCTTAGCCTCTCGAGTCAAATTGCAATATGATCAAAGTGAAGTCAGGTGTTTGGGACATTTGTTCTTGACTTGCAAATGGGAAATGATCTTCTCCTGAGCTTAGCCTGTTTCACTATCACAGCAGCCTCCCCCACAGGAAAAGCTCCAGTGCTTGGGTTGCCCAGTGCTGCCGGAAACAGGGCCTCACTCTCTTGAGGGAGCAAACATCGTGCTGAGATGCTGGAGGATGGCGCACCAAGGTGAAAGTGGAGGAAGCCACTCTAGCTGCCAGTGGCCAGTGTCCCCTCCACGGTGCTGGAGAAGGGACTGCTGGTAGTGATCACCCAGTGTGAGCCCTGGCTGCAGGCTTCTGCTCACTCCTCTATGTGCCTGGACTCCCTTGCTCTGGACGGGGGAGTGTGTAGAGCTGCAGCAAGCTTTGTTGGGAGGCTTCTTCATGCCACCAACAAACCATTCCCACGATACACGGAGAATCTGGCTGTGAATCACATGTGATCTTTCTACAGTTGTGATGGGGAAATGGCATAAACGTGCACTGCTTGTCAGAAAGCTGTTTGCAGGGAGCATCTAAGTCAGGTCAAAGAAGCCCCAGTGCCAATATCACTTGGACCTGAAGGACAAGGGCTTCACAGAGGTCTCACCATCAGGCTAGACCCGTGCTTGGTAACTTGTATGACATCTGGGTGGCCTGCGCCTCTAGGTCCAAGAAATTATGCTGTTTTGTTGCTATGGTAACTTAGGGACTCTTGAAAACCCAACAGACACCTGTAACCTGCCATATTCCTCAACACCCCTGTGTGGATTCCTGTGCGGAATCCCTGTCTGCCTCTTTTTGTTTTTTGTTGTTTGTTTTTGGTACCAGAAGTTGAACCCACAGGCACTTAACCACTGAGCCACATCCCCAGCCTTTTTATTTTTTATTATAGGGCAGAGTCTCACTAAGTTGCTCAGGGCCTCACTAAATTGCTGAGGCTGGCCTTGAACTTGTGATTCTCCTGCCTTAGCCTCAGCAGCTGAGATTACAGGAGTGTGCTATCACTCCCGGCTGGTAATCTTGTTTTTGACTCTGGCACATGTATAATTAATTGAATTGGCTAAACAAACCTGAATAGAACAAACATGCACTAAATTAGCAGACATATAAAAGGGGAAACAATTTATGTTTTAGTTTGCCATACACATTTCCCAGAATGAAATGCATCAGGCCTCTGCCTGTATATTGGCTCTTTCCACAGGCCTCCAGGGCTGGCTCTGCTATGCCCAGAAGGCAGCCAGTGGGCCGCCTTCACCAAGAGGGCATGCCTGGCTGCCACGCTGCCTCCTGACCCCACCCATTGCCGCACTGGCTTTGCACCCTGGACTTGGTGGAAATCCTTCTTGACTTTGACTTCCGGCTGGCTGTGCACTAGGGAGGCTCAAGCAGATGCCCAGGAAGCAGAGAGGGCCTGGAGCCCAGGCAGCCCCTGCACTCCTGCTGCACGCTCCTCGGATCTACCCTGCCCTCTGCGTGTGTGTGTGTGTGTGTGTGTGTGTGTGTGTGTGTGTGTGTGGCCTGAGCACGGGCCTACCAGGTGCCCTTCGCTTTGGTCCACCATCAACACACCCTGTCCCCAGTTCCTGCAGGCTGTGCCACCTCTTCCAGCTGGATTCCAAGGATACAGATGTGCTCAGCCCTGGCCTTATGGGTCCTTGGAAATAACCAGCTACTCCAGCTACTGCCTCTGACTGGTCAGTTGCTGTTCCTCCTCAGCATACTCCATGATCCACTCCTTCTCAGTGAGCTTTGATTCACTCCATCCTCCCAGTCATACCCAACCTGTCCTCTGACTGCTTGTGCCCAGCTCCTATGACCCTTAAATCCCTGTGTAAAGCTTCAAAAATGTGCAGAGAGCAAGAAAGAGCCCCTTTGTTTCAAACTAAGGCAACACTCCATGATTTACTATCATGATTACTATTTACTACATGATTTACGTATTTGTGGGATACGAATTCTGAAAATGAAATTCCTCTGGCCACATATCTGCTACTTTACTTAGTCCTTGGCTTTCCAAAATATTTAACAAATTGGATGGGGGTTCAAATGCTCTTATGTGTTTTGTTAGTTATGGTCTTTGGACAGTAAAGGAAGCAAATCAGAATTTGATTTGTGAAAGGACATTAAACTAGGTTTTCTTTTTTCACCATGATAAATGCAAAGAAAATTTGGAAACCACTGTTTTTCCTGTAGATTTTGCTGCCTTGGGAATCCTCATCCTGCTGGTTATACAGATGTGATGAAATTTCCTATTCCATATTTTCATGCATTTTAGAACAATGATTTTTCACTTTTAATGCATTGCCCCCCCCAATATGACTGATGATGTTGAATAGTACAGTAAATTTGAGAAGAGCTACATATCAACAAATCAAGCTTCTACTTCCATGACAGAAATATGGTTTCATTGTTTCCCCACTGAAATTGATGCTTGGCAACATCACTAGATGGCTGGCTTTTTAGAGTCATAGAGCAATGACCCTTCTCCATAGGGTGGGGACATACAGCCATCTGAGGCAAATTGTAGCCATGTGGGGAAGTCACATGCACACATCATCTGTGGCTCCTGAGGGTAAAAATCTAACCAGCAGGCTTGTGCTGGAGGAAGGCAGCTCAATTCACTGGAGGGACATTCATCCTGAACTCACAGGCTGTGCTGTCCTCCTATGAAGGTTCGGATGAGACATGGTAACTTGCTGACCTTGAGCAAGTTCTAAGGAAACTCCCGCTCCAGTTACTGATCTTCACATTCTGCATCTTGTGGAAATAAAAAGCTGTGTAGCACTTGTGCACGCCCTCTGCTGATGCTGGCTTTATGGGATTTGCTGTATGGAAACTGCATGTGAAGCCTCTTGCAGGTCTTAGTACCAGGAAAACTTCTGTGTCTGGATAGAAGCCATCCAACTGTAGAACAAAAATTTGCAGTTCGGAGATCTAACACCGGAATATTTCCCAACTTTAAGAAAAGCCATTTACTTGGACCTGAATGTGGTAGGTTGCAGGTGCCTAGAGCCATGCAGGGTGGTATGCAGTGTGTCATCTAAAGGCGATGCCCTCCTAAAGTTGGCTAAGTACTGTGGCCCTTCATTATTTCACGTTGGTGTGCACCCCAGTTCCAAGGATGATTCTTAGAATCAATTCAAAGCAGCTATTTCCTTAATTCCACATGGGCTGTCTCTTTAGGCATCAGAAACATTGATGTGGGTTCCAAACCAGAAACCCTTTTGGACATCGGAAGGTATTTCTCTGGATGCAGAAGTAGTGCCTCCTCTTTAAGTTCCAAAGAGCAGTGCTTGATAAATACCCTTTGAGTTGAAGGAGGGACTGACTGAAGGGTCACAGTATATCCTCTTTGCTGAAATGAGAATTAGATATTTTTAGTCCTTGTTATAATCTCAGAAAAGAATTTCTTCATTAAATTTTTAATGTCCCACCCAGCAAGAGTCAGAGCCAGTCTGATGCTCATTCAGGCTTGAGAAGACCCATCATAACCCATACCAATCCTGTGGGGATTGCAACTTATTGTCAATGTGGACATGCTTCCATTCAACACACGGCAGATCCTTTCAGGAATGGTTAGTCGTAATTGCCCCAAACTGAAGGCAACCAAGATGTGCTTCAGCAGTGGAATAGACAACTCTGATACCTCCAGATAGTGGAGTATTATTCAGCAATTAAGAAGTGAGCCATCAAGACACAAGGAAACCAAATGTATATGTTCAGTGAAAGAACCAGTCTGAAGAGGTCACACATAGTGTGGTTCCAACTATAAAAGTTTTGAAAGTGACAAATCTGTGGTTGCCAGGGAGAGAGGGGGCTGGAGACTGGGGCTTTTGTGCAGTGGCACTGCTCTGTGAGATCACAATGTGATGGTGGACCCATGATGTCGTGCAGACTCTAGCCCATAGAATGTGCAAGCTAGCCCTACCAAAGTTCAGCGAATAAGAGAAAACACCTTCCATTTACCTTTCTTTATCATGTGCTTCCTGAATGGGGATGGAGGAATGCTCTAGATATGCAGGATTTATCAGCTCTCTCAGGCTCATTTCAGAATGTTACTTAAATAACAAGTTCTCATCCCTTACAACTGAGCAGTGGTGCAAATGGTTATGTGGTCCCTATCCGCCTTCCTGCATGCCCTGGTGCTTCACTGGGGCTCAGTTCAGCCAGCAGAGCACAAGACTGCAGGTCCCACCTGAGCTCCTTGGACCTCTCAGAGTTGAGCATTCTCCAGAGCCACTTAAAATTTCAGCAGTATGACTAATTCTGGACTCAATCTGTGTTTTTCCTTGAAAAGCAAAGGTTTTGTGACATAGGATGGTCTTCACCCTCTGCTCCAAACACATTTGGAATCCAACTAGGATGCCTGCTGCAATGGCAGGGGGCTCCTGCTGAAGTCCTGCAGCAGGGAGGCCACTCTACTTCTAATGAGCCAAGAGGGGAGAGTTATAATCCACCTCAGAGAGTTAGAATCCAGGTCCTCGCCTGCAAGACCTCGCTTCCCATCTTCCATGGGCTGAGATACTTTGGGACTAGTATGTGCCTGTTTAAAAAATGGACTCAAAAAATAAAAAAAATAAAAAAAAAATAAAAAATAAAAAATGGACTCAATAATTCAGCGAGCATTGTCCAGAGGCATTCTGGACCATGAGTGACATTCAGCTGTGCTCACATGCAACTGGATGCATCCGCAGTCTTCAGGAGCCTCAAGGTGCTACCTATGGCCACAGAAGAGCTAGGCTATGTCTACCTCTAAAGCTGTCTTAACAGCAAAACCTTTTCTTCTTTGGTAAATTAAAGTTTATAAGAAACATTATAAAACATAAGTGACCAATTTATATGCTATAGTTGTTTTACAGGAAATAACCAAATGAGTGATGGCTGCAGTTCCATGTAGCTGCTTTCACTTCTCTTCCCCATTTTCCTTAATACTTTGCTGCTGGTATACCCTGAGGAGTGCAGGTGGGCAGTTCCAAAGGGCACATCCTGACTTGTATCTCAAGATGTCCTTTAAAATTTCCTGCTATTTCTTTTGGAAAATTCTAGATAAGTTTGTTATGTCCTAAAACTAAATGACTACAAACATCTAACACTGACCTTAATATAAACACATCAGACAGAAAAGAAGCACAATTTTGTGGCCAACTGGATGGTGATACCCAGATGCACAGGCCTGAGCAGAAGCCTGTTCACCTCCGACTGCACCCGCAGTGTGCCTATCAGCAGGGTGCATCCTGTGAGTGTCCATGAGGGGGCTGCAGGCATGAGTCATTCCCCACTGTGAACTGTGTTCTGTTCAGGGGCACAGAGGGACAATGTGTACATAGAGCTCCTCTCATGGCATGCAGGGAGACAGGTATGGGTGGTCCGTGTCATTATTTCATTGATGACACATTTACAATGCACTTGCCTGGCATGACCTTAAATGCATTGTTATGACTTTTAAGTCTGCGTGTTGCAGGCTGAGTTACTAGAGAAATAATCAGCTCACATATTTATGATGTGCACTCTGGATATGCCAGGGAAGAAGAAAGCACTACCTTCCCCATTTGTTCTTCATTTATGAAGGCCAAGGCAGGTTTCTGTAGATCAGGAATCTAACATAGGCACATGCACAAGCACACGCGCAGCACACACAAACTCACTACAGTCTTTAAGGGCCACAGGGGAAAAGAAAGCATTTGCCTTGACAACTTACAACAAGATCTTTTCCAGGGAGATCTAGAATTATCTATGGGGTTAAGCTGGACTAACAGCCCCATCCCCCTCATTGTGAAGAACCAGCACTTGGCAGCCATGGCAGGAGGGAGCCAGGAGGGACAATGGGCTGGCCATACCAGCCCCAGAGATGTCCCTCAGTGGAGGGGCATTTTCCACATCTTAACCTGAGGGAGCTCTGCAGAGACAAGAGGCCTTGCAAAGAGAAGGAAGCAAGGCCTCCCTTCATCTGAATGCCACAGAGCAGCTAATGGCTGAGCCTTGGCTGTTCTGGATCCTGAGACACCAAAAGAAAGCTCATTACTAATATAGTGATCCTCTTCAGAAGAACAGAGGAGACTTCATCACAGCAAGTGCAGTTTATCAATTGTGACATGTATTAAAACTCGTGCCCAAGAACAAGAAGCCACAGTCCTTACTATAACTAAATTCAAATAGGACATTTATAGGATCTGAAGTTCCTTGGAATTTCCTCAACTCATTTGAAAGCTGTTGGCTCAGAGAACTTCACAGGCATAAAATCTCTGAACAGCGGAGCCTGCGGAGGCTGCTTCTTGGACCCTGCTAATATCAGAGCAAACACGAAACACCAAGAAGCCGAATTCCAGCTCCCGGAACTGAGCCCGCGGGGACTGCTTCTTGGAGCTTACACTTATAGGAGCTTACACCGAGCACAGAGCGGCCGAGTTCCAGCTCCCGGAACCGTCCCGGAACCGCCCTGGCTCAGGGCTGCGGAGCCCGCGGAGGCTGCTTCTTGGACCCTGCTACTATCAGAGCATACACCAAACACTAAGCGGCCGAATTCCGGCTCCCGGAACTGAGCCCGCGGGGGCTGCTTCTTGGAGCCTACACTTATAGGAGCTTACACCGAGCACGGAGCGGCCGAGTTCCGGCTCCCGGAACTTCCCTGGACCGGGGCTAGGAGCCCGCGGAAACTGTGTCTCGGTCCGGGTCCTGCTGAGGGCAGGTCAGGACTCACCCATTGCTTGGGTTGCCTGGCAAGGGGAACGAAATGCTGCCATTCGCATAGGATACCAACATGGCAGAGATCTGATGTCAGCAGAAAGCGGTGGAGGAGAGATCTTCATCAATACCAGCGGTGACATAAGCAGTTGGTCTCCTGGTAAGGGGGGTGAGGCTCAGTCACCCGAGTCTCCTCAATTTGTCCTCGAGCCAGAGGGAAGGAGCCGGGCCGCCGCCAGCCCCCGGAGCAGGCCCAGCGGCTCGCCAGCGTGGTGACCGCGTGACCCCAATTGGAGAGGGGGCGGAGCGGAGCCGCCACCCACACCCGCCAGGTGGGCAGACCCACGACCCAGTAGTACATGGGCGTGGTAGGAGGGGCAGGGCAGAGCCGCCCTTCGCGCTTGCAAGGTAAACAGACCTGTGACAGCCTGGCGGGTCAGGCCCAGTGGCCTGCCAGTGTGGTACACACGTCACCCCAACTCGAGTAGGGGCAGAGCAGATCCTTATCCCACGCCCGGATCAGGCCCTGCCGGTGTGGTGGTCACGTGACCCCAATTGGAGTGGGGGTGGAGCGGAACCGCCACCCGTGCCCGCAGGGTGAGCAGACCAGTGATCAACCTGCAGATCAGGCCCAGGGGTCCGCAGGCGTGGTAGGAGGGGCAGGGCAGATCCGCCGCCCGCGCCTTCAAGGTAGGCAGACCTACAACAGACCGGCGGATCAGGCCCAGGAGCCTGCCGGCGGGGTACAAACACCACCCTAATTGGAGTAGTGACAGAGCAGAGTCGCCTCCCTTGCCAGGAACAGACCCAGCATCCTGCAGGCGGGGTAGTCACGACACCCCAATTGGAGTAGGGGCAAAGCAGAGCCTCCACTCGTGCCCGAAAGGTGGGCAGATCTGCGACCGACCAGCAGGACAGGCCCAGTGGCCTGCTGGTACGACAGACACGTCACCCCAATTGGAGTAGGGGCAGAACAGAGCCGCCACCAGCTCCCAGAACAGGCCCAGTGACCTGCCGGCGTGGTAGCCACGACACCCCAATTGGAATAAGGAGAGAGCAGAGCCGCCGCCCGCACCTGCAGGAAAGATACGCAAGCAGTATGAAAAGACAAGGAAAGAAAGGACCACAAGCAATGCAGGTCAACGCAACTTTAGAAGAGGTAACAGCTGCAGCAGATGGAATGTCAGATAAAGAATTCAGGATATACATGCTTCAGATGATCTGGAGTATCAAGGAAGACATTAAACAGCAAAATCAGACAATGAAAGATCACTTCGACAACGAATTACGCAAACAAATCCAGGAAGCAAAGGATCAACTATACAGGGAGATAGAGGTTATAAAAAACAAGCAATCAGAAATCCTAGAAATGCAGGAAGCAATAAACCAACTTAAAAACTCAATGGAGAATACTACCAACAGAGTAGAACACTTAGAAGATAGAACATCAGACAATGAAGACAAAGTATTTCAACTGGAAAAGAACATAGACAGCTCAGCAAGACTGTTAAGAAACCATGAGCAGAACATCCAAGAAATATGGGATAACATTAAGAGACCAAACTTAAGAGTCATTGGGATACAGGAAGGTACAGAGCTCCAAACCAAAGGAATGAGCAGTCTATTCCATGAAATAATACAAGAAAACTTCCCAGACTTGAAGAATGAGACAGA